GTAAAAAACAAAACAAAACACTGGGCTGGTGACTGTCCATCCACCTCCACAGAGCCCCTCCCCCTCAAACTGCCAAACAGGATTCAGTGTTGCAATCCCAGCACTTGGGAGGCTGAGGCAGGAAAATTCCTGTGAGTTAGAGGCCAGCCTAGGTTACATAGTGAGTTCAAGACCAGCCTGGACTGTGTAGTATGACCTTGTCTCACAAACCTAAGTAAATAAATAAATGAGCTGTCAAATACAAGCCCTTCAATTCTGATCATGCAGTTCTGTGGCTATTAGCCCCCAGAAAAGGGTAACACAAGTAGCCAAGATCATTTCCCATTTGTGGGCACCACTCTAAAGAACATAGGCTCCAAGGGAGGGCAAACCTTAGAAGGGCAAGGTTCATTTGCTCTGCGCCAATTCCACGGGGCCGTCGTGCACTGCTGTATAGACCATGGCCCACACGACTCTTAAGAGCCTCCTCATTCACTAGCTCTCCTGCTACCTGCCTCTCAGGAAGGCAGGACAGGACCCGCGACCCTATCCTCTGACCCCTTTCCTGGCTCTGCCCCCTGGAGTTTGCAGACTAAGGAAATTCTTCATAGAGGCTGAGCCCTCCACCCCAAGTAAGAAGACAGGCCTGCCCCTCCTGCCCTACCAACCCCAGCAAGGGCGCCAGCTCGACTGTACTACTGGTAACCTCTACCTGCTGCTTCTCTTTCTGAGCTCCCCACCACTTCTTGGATGGGGATGTGGGTTCCACTGCTCCCCCAGGCAAAAGGAGATTAAAATATCAATCCGCTTGCAGAACAAGAGCTCAGGGGGTTAAGTACAACAAGGGGACCCAGAAGGCAACCTGCTACTATGTGGGCCCTGTGCTGGGCTCCCACAGCCTCCACCCTTCCTTCTTTTTTTTTTTTTCTTCTTTTTTGGTGATAACAGGGATTGAACTCAGGACCCTGTGCTTGCCAGGCAAGCACTTATTCTATTGAGCTATCTCCCCAGCCCCAACCCTTCCTTCTTAAAAGTGCTCCTATCTGCCTGGAGCTGAGGCTGGGCCTGGGGCCCAGAGGAGGCAGCTTAGGTGTTTAGAGCACAGCACACATGCTCTCCAACCAAGAAAAGGGGAGCCTGGCAAGTGGAAGAAAGGGTGGGAGCTTTCAGCACTCACAGAGTCAGGCCCAGGCCACGCCCAACTTGCCCTGCCTTACCTGCCAGGCCACCTTCAAGCCCTTCCCACCAACCTCCTTTCCCATTCCCCACCCAACCCGACCCTACCCCCACTTGGCCTACCGCTAGGGAAGGGCGGAGAACCCTATCCTCCAGGGGCTGGGCCTGGCACTGAATGGCCTGTGCCCTCCGCGCTGCCCTCTTCTGAGTCCGTGGGAGGGCAGCTCAAGCCAAGGCTCCCTCGCTCTGGCCTCTCCAGGCGCCAAGTGTACCAGAGCCAAGGCTAGGGCCTCGACTGTCGTGGTGAGAGCACTAGTCCTGAGTCACTTGTGGCTTCGTGCTCTTCCTGCCAGGGACCCTCCTTCCACGCCCTACAGGCACAGTCCAGCCCAACTCTTGGTCTTCCATGGAAAAACATCCATGTCTTTTCCAGTTTCACTGTTGATACTGTTAATATATTCTAAATCCTTTTCACTCTGATCACAAAAGTTAACACACACTGACGTCTTGCTTCCAGAAACTATAGAAATAAAATAAATATGAGCCACAATTTTTTAAAAAAGTTAGTCAGGAACGCTTGCCTCTGTTGGGCCAACCTGCCTGCTGGAGCTCTGGCCTCTAACCACCTGCCCTCAGCCTGGACTCAGAAGGGCAGCCCTGGGTTAATGGCTCCTCCTCCATCACACTTGGACCCCCAGGGCGCAGGCCCAGTCAGAAAGGCCTGGGGCAGAGGCGGTCCCTGGGACCTGTTCCACAGGCTGCACATTCCTATGGGGGGTGGAGTCTGGGAGGTGAGGTCGAGGGGAGAACAGTCTGGTCACTGAGGGCAGGTCCCCAGGGAGCCCAGGTCTGCAGGGACTGCAGATCAAACCCTGGGGGAAGGGTGCCAGGGGACACTACCCAGCAGGGGCCTCTATTCCTCCTCCTCCTCCTCTTCAGTCAAAACACTGAACCCTATCTTAGGTCTGTCCCCAAAAGACAGGGAAACAGCGTGGGGGGTAACACTAATACCCCTCCCCCAGTCCAATCCCAGGGACAGCTCTCAGGGCTTTGTGCCAAGGCCATTTAAATGCTAAGGCCACCGCTGGGGGGAGCCTGGGACAGAGTGGGTAAGGATGGGGGGAAGTCCAAAAGCCATTCTTATCCAAAGAACTGAATGCCAGATTTGAAGACTTACTGCTGTCAGAGACAGAAAGGGCCTGGGGACTGAGTGCTAGTGATACAAAAAGTAACGGAGCAACAAGGTCTTCGCTTCTCCCTTCCTCTCCTCTACTACCCCATATGCATCTCTCCCTACCAAACACCCATGCTTGGAATCTTCAACATATGAGTACAAACCTCAGCTCCTCTCCCAGCCTGACCCACATGCCCACCTGGCACTCAGGGATTCCACGCCCACATGGCACAACCTGGGCTGTGGCTGGATCTCAGGTTCACCGGACATGGCCCTGGGCCGAGGCAAGAGAAATCCTAGGTCTGACCACTGCGGGTCTCCCAACTCTGAGCACACAGATCCTCCCTGATGACACCAGTCTATTCTTTCTAGGAGTGGGCAGGAGACCTCAAGAGCTTTAAGGTCCCGAAGCAGAGGACAGCCCAGAATATTCTCAGAGTAGAAAGAGGTGGCTTCAAGGCTATGGACAGCGTGGGTGGAGGCAGAGCCCCTTCCCTGGAGGGGCTGGGGAGGACTTCACACTCTATGGCTCTGGATAGGGGTGTCCTATGCCTCCTCGGACCAGGGACATGGCATAAATAACAGATCTTCTCAGGAGAAACTATTATATCTCTGCTGCTGTGACCCAGGGTTTGTATTTTTAAAAGAAACATGGCGACCCCTGGTCAGAGGAGCAGGCAGAGGTTAGAAGTGGTCCTGCTAAGCTGGCCAGTAGCAAACCTCCTACCCAAGTCTTCCAAGTACTCAGGAAGGGAAGGGCATCACCAGACAAGGACCAGCATCCACAGCACACCTTCTGACTGGGGGCAGGGAGATGCGAACACGATCCTCCATAGGTTTAGGGTCTCCAGCTGGTGACAGGCATTGTGACAGCCACCCTGCCTGACATCCGGGTTCCATGAAGAGGACTAGCGAAGGGTGAGGACTGCAGCGAGTTCAGGCAGGAGCGAGCCCTCTTAAGCAAACACTGAGCACAAAAATAACTCCCATTCAAAGCACGATTTACTGTGTGCCGGCCGGCCTTCCCAGCACAGAGCCCTTTTCAAACACAGCTTCACCCCTGAATGTGTGGGGGAGGGGAGGAGAGTACAGCTGCCTTTGAATCCGCTTTTTCCGGTGGTGTCAGCTTCCTGAAGACTCGCCCAGGGATCTGTCCAATGAGGACTATCTCAAAGCACTCCCAGCACTAAGGAATCCTTAGCAGAGCGGCCTATCGGCCTATGAAGGGCAAGAACACCTACATCCCTCAGAAGGCCAGGCCCAGCTCAAGCAACCACTAGCCCGGCGGCGGCGGCAGCAGCAGCACACCTCAGAGCCCTGGGCATCTGAACTGAGTGTGGCTGTGGATCGGCTGGCATACTTCCTGCTGCTGTCCCATTTCACGCCACTCTGAGATGTTACCCTGCGAACAACATCTCTACTGGTTCTCAGTCCTTCTCATTGCATGATATGCTTCTCTGAGCCTGCTCATTGTCCAAGTAGCAAAATGTCCAGGATGGGGCGCTTCTCACCCAGAAGAACCACAGAGGTAAAGCTGCAGGTGAAACCTGACTGTAGAAATGGCTCTTCACCTGTCCTGGTCCTGGCAGACAAGCATCACAAGGCCTGATTTAGGGTGGAAAGCCTTCTCCAGGCAGGAGTGCAACACACTCAGCAATGTCTGTAAAACCTGTCTCCCACTGGCCCACCCTAATCCATGTTTCCTCTCTGTTCAAGCTACTCTCTATCTTGTAGCTTACACAAGACTCTTCTTCCCCACTACCCCATAAGACTCTTTCAGACAACTTTTTCTCTTACTAAAGTAATTCATGACCATTATAGAAGACTGGAAAATCCAACAGAAGATTTCTAGAGCTAAAAATCATTCACATGTCCAGCACCCCATTTGATTGTATCTTTCTGAACTTCTACACACGTGTGTGCTGGGCATGTGCATACATATAATTAATTTTACAAAATCAGTACTTATGCCATCTAATTCTACTTTTCTTTTTCACTTCTTTTTATAAACATTCCCCAGGTTAGATGCTGTTGTCTGTTAACTACATGGGGGGGAGTATAATTTATAGATGCACACAGTAGTAAATTCAAAAGAGTAGTAAATTCAAAAAAGTAGTAAATTCAAAATTCACAGGGCCTACAGCAAATAGCCCATCTCTCCTCCTTCACCCATCATTTTCCTGCCCCGTGAGCTCAAGGCCAGGCTGAGCCCTTCCTTTCCGGCGCCCAGGGCCCAAGCTCCAGTCTGTCCTGCCCTCCGGCCACAGCTCTGGCCTCAGGGTTTTACATTTGCAGTTCCCTCAGCCTGGAAGGAATCTCCGTTGGCAGCTGGCTCCCTCATCTTCCCACCTGTGCTAAGCTGCCCTCAACCAAGGACAGTCTCCACCGCTTCCATGCCAGGAGAACTTGTGCCTCAGCCTACCCCATCACCCCTGCAGAATGTCTGAAAATCTTACACACCAAGTGCCACAGACTAGCATTGCCTTGATTCCCACCAACGCCCTAGGAGGAAGCTTCTCTGAAGGCAGGTGTGCTACTTATCCTGTCCAGCTGTCATGCACTGCCTGGCACAAGGTGGCTCATAACCAGCACTTTACTGTTGTCAGCTTCTGTTTGAGTGAAATGAAAGGTATCTTTAGTGCTGCTTTTTTCATCACTGAAAATTGCCTACCTGCTGCATCCGAAGCACCAAGCATCAACTCCCTGGCCATCTTCCTCCATGTTTGGTGGTGCTGTTAGGGGGTCTGAGGGGGAGAGAAGGAGGGGAGGTGTCCCTGATGTCTCTGCTCTCCCTCTACCCACCACAGCCCTGTAATTTCAGAATCAAGCATGGTACTCACGCCTAACTCAAACTCCTAGAAAATTCTCCAACTACTAGTGGAAAAGTTGGAAATGACACTTTAGCCACATTATCTCAGTCCCAAATCCAGCCTGCTCTGGTAGCAGGGCTATTCCAGGCTCCCAAGAGAGCCCCACAGCAGGAAACATACACACCACCCAGGGAGCAAAGCTCCCCCAGGGAGTGCCAGGCCCGCCCCACCTGCCGCCTCCCCTGAGCCCCAGACACCTGGGCTCCTCTCTCTGGAAATTCACCCTGCCCCAGAGACACAAATGCACATCCAATCCTGAGCTGGCAGCCCAGGCAGAGGGAATCCAGGGGACACCCTCGTGGAGACACTTCCTTCCTGCGGTCCAATCTCCAGGGAAAGGACAGCACGCTGGAGCCAAGATCTACTTTTAAGAATGGGGGGAGGAAGTTTGATAAAGGACTTTCACAAAATTTGTAAAGGAAAGAAAGGGGGGAAGAAAAGAAAAGAAAAAAACTTAGAAAGATGGATCTTGACGAAAAGTAGAAAGGATAAGCTATTTGACCTGAGGAGCCAGAATCAAGAAAGGGTGGGAAAGAGTTCCAAGTCTCTCTCTCCCCAAAGGTTGACAATTATTAAAATTAAGTGGGCACAATCTCAGAGCATTCTTTTGGGCTCTGGACAAGGTCACTTAAATAATAACAGTATCCTTTGGGGGTGGAGGTCAACAGTAAAACATCTGCCTGTATGTCCCAGGCCTTGGGTTCCATGCGCAGCCCTGAAGCCAAAATAATAAGAGGCCAAGTATGGTGGCACATGCCTGTAATCCCAGCACTTGGGAGGCTGAGGCAGGATGATCGCTGCAAGTTCAAGACCAGCCTGGGCTACAAAGTGAGCTCAAGGCCAGGCTGAACTGCATAGTGAGACCCTGTCAAGAAAAATGAGAAGAGGGGAAGGAATGGCAGTAACAGCTAACCTCCCACTCAGTAGTGAGGACAAAACCAGGGCCTAATAGTTGCTAGACAAGTGTTCTACCACCAAACTACACACCTCTAGCCCCAACAGCTAACATTTATTCAGCACTTGCTACGTGTCAAGCACTGTTCTGAGCCTCTGTTCCTATTAAGTACATTTTACAACAGGAACCTGAGGTATAGGGGTTGGAGTAAACTGCTCAAAGTCTGACCACAAGTGGCAGCATCCTGGATCTAACTCGGGCTCCACGGCTCTCAACAATCAAGCTATACTATGCTACTAGTGGTCCTAGTAGGCTGTGTCCCTAGACTCCTGGAGTTCACGCCTTCCCAACCAGCATCTTTCAAACGATAGCCACACATCAACTGAAAAGATAGGAGCACAACTCTATTTGCATAGGAGAAAGTCCGGAAGAGTTAAGAGAACTCGCCCGAGATCACACTGCCCCTCGATAGGGTCCAGGGATCCAGGCGTAACGAACCCCAGTTTCTTAGGGAGCACTATTGAAACAGGGCCCTGGAAACTCCACCCGATCCGCAGCCCAATCTTCCCGGGCCCTGGCAGTCTTCAGCCGGACCCTTTCGCCACGCCAAGACACTCTGCCCGGAAATTCCCACAGAGTTAAAGCAAACTTCCCAGGAAAACTCCTCGGCTTCCGCCAAGCCGCTGCCTGTCAAGACGGCTGCTGCCAAAAGCGCCCTCGGAGTCCCTGCAGCTGCTGCGAGTCCTCCAAGGCGGGAGCCGCGGCCGGAGCCCTAGGGGTCCTCTGGGAAGATGCAGGGCTTAAGTTCAAAATTCGCTTCCCGCCCAGGCCGGGCCAGCTGCCCCGCCCGGGGCGCTCGGACAACCCCCTCTCTTAACCTCCCAGTTAAACCCCAGGGCACCTCCAGCCGGAATGCCAGGCCATGCCGCTAGGGGAGATCTCAGCGCGCCCCAGACCCCAAGCAGCTAGCCAGTGGCGGCGCGTGCGCGCGCGCGCGCTTACACGTGTGTGTGTGTGTGTGTGTGTGTGTGCGTGTTTACGCACGGAACGCGCGGGGTGGGAAAACAATGGCGAGCCGCTGGGACGGAGCGATGTCCCCCAACCCAGTGCATCTCCCTACCCCTAGGCGAAATTTGCTTCAGCGCAAAATCGGTAGAAAAATCTCCCCTCGGACATCTCAGGGTGGGCGGTGGGGGTGCTGAGCCGCAGGCTGGATGGGGTGGGGGTGGAACCCGAGCCGCGCGAGCAGAAAACAAACAGGAGGCGGCGCCGGGCTGGTCCGCAGGGAAAAGAACCTGGAATCAGGAGAAGGGGCGCGCGGCTGCCCCCGACACCCGACATCTGCGTCTTGTCGGGGGCACCCGTGCCCCACGCGGGGTGAGCAAACGTCGCCTAGAATTCCCACTGGGAAATCCTTAAGCCGGGCGCATAGTCAGGCTGCTGAGTAAGACCTAGTGCCCGGCAGATCGGTGAGAAGCCGGCGCGGGGTGAGGACACCCGAAGCCCGGCTCGCGTGGTGTGCACACAGACACGCGCGCACAACCACCCTCGGCCTCTCAGGCTGTCGCCTGTCTCCACAAGGACCGGGGTCTGCCCCGAAGGAGCCGCCACTGGCCAGACTTTGCAGGGGTAGTGAGGGTCCATTCCTCCTCGGAAAACTTTGCAAAGGACGGCAACTCGAACCGAAGAGGGCCAGCGTGTGCCCAGAGACGTGGGGGCGCGAGTGTCAAACTTCGGAGGGCCGGGGAAAGGGGCGCACGAGAGGCGCACTTACTACTCTGCCGGGCTCTGTGCCGGGCTCGCGGCTCCGCGCTCCTGCTGCTCCCGGTGCGGTCCTCGCGGCTGGCAGATGGCTTCCCACTCACATGCCCCCGCGGGCGGGCGGGCGGCGCAAGGCGGCGGGCTGGGAGGGGGCACGCCCCCCGCCGTGGGCCGGGGAGTCGCCCTGCACCCCCGGCCACCGGTGAACTGCGTCCGCGAGGGGCTAGCGTCCCGCGCGGCGAGCTCGGTTCCGGCCGGGCGGCGCCCTCCGCCGCGCCAGGCCGCTCTCTGCACTCTGCCCTCTGCCCGGGGCTCGCGGCCGTCTCCTGCCTTCCGCGATCCTACGCCCCGACTCGTTCGGACGCTGCGCCTGCCCGGTTGGCCGGCAGGCTCGGCCCTTCTCTCGGTCCGAATTGGGGCCTCCGAGACTCAGCGCGGCGCCCTGGCCTCAATCCCGGCGGGCCGCTCCTGGGTCCTGGCCCCAGGACTAGCGTTCACACACTTCAGTTCCAAAGCCGGACTAGAGCAGGGCGCTCGCTGCTCTCAGCTGCTAGACTGCTCAACAGCCTCGGAGGAGAAAGCGAGGGAGGCCGAGCCCGGGCAGGGGGAGGAGGAGGAGGGAGGGAGGGAAAGAGGGAGGGACAGAGAGTTTCCTCCTCCTCCTTGCCGCGGGTCCACCCAGGCATCAACAGCTGGAAACCTCTGTTGGGAAAGGGGCAGGCTGAGGTCCTTGATCGGCGAGGGTGGGGTGGAGAGAATAAAAGGAAGGTGGATTCTGCCCATTCTCTCTGGCCAGGTAGGAGGGCCAGTACCGCTAATTTTCTCTCTTTGGGGCAAGAGCTAAGAAGTTCTACATCCAGCAAGCCTCCCAACCCTTCCAAACAGGCTGGATTGCTTGCTTGTTTGCTTGCTTGCTTGCTTGCTTGCTTGGTTTCTTTCTTTCTTTCTTTCTTTCTTTCTTTCTTTCTTTCTTTCTTTCTTTCTTCCCCCCCCCCCCATTGAGAACTTCCATTATAAACATGATACCTAGCGGGACTTCAGGGCGCATGTGTGCAATCTCTACTCTGGGCGGCTGAGGCAAGAGGATCACAAATTCCAGCCGGACATAGGCAGTTTAGCAATTTATCAAGTCCTTGTCTGTAAAGAAAAAATTGAAAAGGGAGATCGTTCAGTAGCATAAGTGCCTGCCTGGCAAGTTCAAGGTCCCGAGTTAAATCTCCAGTACAAAAACAAACAACAACAATAAAAAAACCCACACGCCTGTAATCCGACCACCTGGGAGGTTGAGACGAGGATAGCTGCAAGTTCCAGACCAGCCTGGAGACTACAAAAATGAACACAAGGCCATTCTGGACTGCATAGTGAGATCCTGTCTCAAAAAAAAAAAAAAAATTTTTTTTTTTGGAAAGTGATGAGGAGTAAGTTTGAATACCCTGGGTTTAAGCCCTAGTAATCAAGAAAAAAAGAAGATGGGGAGAAAGAGAAAGGCCCAGGTATGGTGGTGCCCACCTATGATCCCAGCACCTGGGAGGTGAGGCAGGAGGATCACTGAATTCGAGGCCAGCCTGGGCTACACAGTGAATTCAAGGCCAGCATGAACTACACAGTGAGATTCTAGCAGAAAATGCCCTTCCCCCCCCAGTACACTTCAGTTTCTTAGCTGCCCAGGTGATAGTACCTGTTCTCATTCCAGCTGCTTCTGTCTCTTATAACTGGCTGGTCACTGTTATGCACATTGTATAAACCCATCCTCACTGACAAGCCATTCTGCCTCTGTATTTCATGACTGCCGGTCTCATATAAGCCCTAAAGCACTAGAGATCAGGGCCTAATATTTGGGGAGTGATCCTGATCAGTGCCCATGGATGTCCTTTCAATGTTTCTATCTGCTATTCCAAAACCTTATTTCTTTTTCCTTTCTTTCTTTTTTTTTTTTTTTTTTTTTTTCCTGTACTTGGTAGTTATAGGGTCTCACTATGCAGCTCGAATACATAGTGATCCTCCTGTTTTCAGCCTCCCAGCACCAGGATTACAGGCATGCGCCACTATACCCCAACTCTGCAACTAGCTCAGCCCAACCTGGAGGCAGAATGTGGTGCAGGAGATTGAACCGTGGTCCCTGTGCTTACCTAGGCTTGCCTAAGCAGGCACTTTAGTCTGCTGAGCTATCTTGCCAGCCCACAAAACCTTGTTTCAAAAACAATTTTTATTTTTGAAGAAAAGAAAGAACCTGATCCCTTGTGCAGCTAGACAGCTTCCTAATGTCTTTGACAGCTCTTGAGTACTTCTTTGCTGTCTCACACAAGTCCTTTATTTTCTCCAGCCCTGTTGGGAGGTGTGTATGGACAGGATGGGTCCCTTTACTGTGCGTACTTATGAGATATCTGCATTGTGCTGGCTGAGCTAGGTGCCCGGACACCAGGGTGAATGAGACAGTGCCTGCTGTCTCCAGATTCGCGTTGGGAGGGAAGGGGTGAACTCACATCCAGCTCCAGAGAGGACAAGTGTACCCAAGGGCACTAGAAAGTGGAATCCTGAACCAGTTGGCTCAGCAGGGTTTGGAGGGACCTGTGGGGGAAGGGCAGATTAAAGGAGGTGGCAGGTGTGTGACCATAGGGATCCTGTGCCCATTGTGCAGGCGGCAGCTGTCAGATGTGACAGTCAGAAGGAACTCACTAGACCTATAGGGGCTCTAGATTTCATCACTCCCCACTGCTTTACCTGACTTAACTCCTTTCACTCCTTTTGTGGGTCTCAGCCTGAATGTCAACTCTTCTAGGAGCTTTTCTTTCCAGGGGGAGATTAGAATGCTAAGGAGGGAACCCAGGGCCTCGCGGTATGATAGCTTGCCCCTCCTTTTCTTTCTTTCTCTTATTTGGCAGTACTAAGGATGAACCCGGGGCCTCACAGACGCTAGGCAAGTGCTCTTATCCCTGAGCTACATCCCAGTCCTTTTAAAGTTTTATTTTGAGCTGGCGCAGGGCACATGTCTGTAATCCTAGCACTTCAGAGGCTAAGACAGGAGGTTTCCTGTGGATTCAAGCACAGCCTGGACTACATAGTGAGACGGTGCCTCAAAAAGTTTTATTTTCTCTCTCTCTCTTTTTTTTTTTTTTTTTGGCAGAACTGGGGATTGAACTCAGGTGCTTGCACTTGCCAGGCAAGTATGTATTCTACTGAGCCATCTCCCTGGCCCGTAAAAAAACTTTTAAAACATTTTAAGAATAAAATTTTATTTTGAGGGGCCGGGGAGATGGCTCAGTAGGATACGCGCTTGACTGGCAAATGCAAACATCTGAGTTCAATCCCCGGTTCCGCAAAATAAATAAATAAAATAAAATTTTATTTTGAGAACCAGCCAAGTAGCTCAATGGATTAAAGCGCCTGCAAGCAGGCACAGGGGTGGGGGTTTGATTCCTTGGCCTGCCATGCTGGACCCGCTCCTGGGGCATGCTGAGACGACAATTGAGACTGAGTGTGGTGCACCTGTAATCCCAGCTCTTGGGAGGTTGTAAACAGGCAGATCACTACGCGTCCGATCTAGTAGTGAGACCCTGAATACCCTGTAGACCCTTCCCTAAAATACAAAAAATAATGATAAAATGAAATAAAATTTTATTTTGAGACAAGGTTTTACTAAGTTATCCAGTTCAATCCCCGGTTCCGCCAAAAAAAAAAAAAAAAAAAAAAAAAAAAAAAAAAACAAGGGCTTTGATGAGGTCAGTCTAGCTGGTGGCAGAGAAGAAGACCAGTGACCAGACATTGGTAGTAACTGAGCAGAATTTATGCTGACCATGCAGTGGGTGGTGGCATGTACCTGTAGCCCAGAACTCTGAGAGACTAATACAGGAGAATCACAAGTTTGAGCTCAGCCTAGACTATCTAGAGAGACCCTGTCTCAAAAATTTTAAGTTTTGTGTGGTGCAGTGGCCATGCCTGTAATCCCAGCACACAGGAGGCTGAGGCAGGAGAATGGCTGCAAGTTCAAAGCCAGCCTGAGGGGCTGGGGAGATGGCTCAGTAGAATAAGCGCTTCCCTGGTAAGCTGAAGGGCCTGAGTTCAATCCCCCGTTCTGGAAAAAAAAAAAAAAAAGCCAGCCTGGGCTACATAGGCCCTTACTACATAGTGAGACCTGTCTTCCACCCCCACCCCACCCCACGCCCAGGTACTGGGAATTAAACTCAGGACCTTGCACTTGCCAGGCAGGTGCTTATGCAGCTGAGCTATATCCCCAGCAAAACCTGTCTTAAAAACAATAAATAAACAAAAAGTCCTAAGACTCAGTGCAAAGGCCCTGGATTCAATCCCAAGCACCGGGAGCAGAGGGAGGACACAGGCCTCAGCTAAACCAGGGGTAAAAGGATGCAAGGAAATGAACAAATTAAAGCAAGAGTGGGGGCTGGTGAGATGGCTCAGTGGTCTAAAGCACCTACTTAGAACAAGCTTAGCAAAACACAGGGACCGTGGTTCAA